TGTTATCAGAAACTAGGACATAGTAGCTAAGGTTAATTTATATTTTGAATAAGCTGAAAACTAGTTATTTAACATTTTTATAAATTATAGTTTTTTAAAAATAACATAAACAAATCACCCAAAAAGTAATTAAATACAAATAATAATTAAATACTATATTGATTTATATATGTATTTTTTTATTAAGAGAAACTAAGGCTAAGCAGCTAAGGTTAGTTTATAATTATAATATGCAGAAAACTAGTTATTTAACATTTTTATAATATTTAAAAATAACATTTACAAATCACCCATATAATTGATAAAAACAAAAAAAAAACACGCAACCATTAAAAGTTTATAATTTAGTACATAAACCTTGAATTTTTATTCATATAAACTTAAATAGAATATTTTTAAATGTTTGACTTTTTGAATACAGCGATAGAATATTGTAGTAAATTTATAGGCCTGAAATTTTGATATAAAAATAAATTTACAATGCCATAATATTGCAATATATAAAATGTTATGTCCTTTATTTGGGAAAGAAACAAAAATTTTGTAACGGTGAACATATTACTTGCCTGGAGGCTGCAAGTGTTTAAATCTACCACCGGTTGGTCTTGAAGCGAATACATTATTTTTTGAAAACCATGAATCTACGAAATTCGCCAAATGTCATAGCATCATCTAGAAATCATTTAAAAGGTATTCACATTAAAACTTATCAAACTATATAATGCTGTAACAGTTTGAGCTGTTGCAATTATTATTATTGCGTTTTTATATACAATGGCCAAATAACGGGTGTTATGACAAGCCATATAAAATCAATAATTTTGTCTGTCTACTTGTTTGTTTTTTAAATCATTTAAAATCGTGTCTAAAAAATACATCATGAGCAATGTCATTAAATGATTATTTCAATATAAATTAAAATCAGTCTGTCATAAAATAGTTTTGTAACATATTTAGTTGAAAAAAAAGATAAAAGCGTATTACCCATTTGGGAACCTTTCATTGGTTTAGTTAACGCTTCGATTTCCTTTGCACTTAGTCCATATCGGAGTCGTTTCTTCAGTAAAAACCATTTAACTCTTTCCTTGGTTACTAAAATATTATCCTTTACAGCTTTTGCGATTTTATCATACATTTTTCCGAGTTGCTAAAATCATAAAATTTCTGATTTTTATACACAATGTGAATACTACTATTATAGAAATAATTAATCTAGAATTATTACTATTATATTATACACTAAACTTATAGAGTATTTAATTATAATAATTTTTTTTTTTTAAATATATCATATATTAGGATAGAAAAAAATCATAATTACATAATTATTAAATTTTGATGTTATTAATGCTACAAATTGCTCTTCCGACATTGTGTGGACTAGAAATCATTATAAAAGTACTCATATTTAAATTTACCAAGCTTAATTATGCTATAACGGATGTAGTGGTTACAATTATTATTATTGCGTTTTTATGATTAATATTTGGTAGTTAAGGGTACTACACATCAAAATCACATAAGAGCAATAATTATATTTGTCCGCTTGTTCAGTTTTCAAACAAACTACAATCGCGTTAACAAAAAAAATTCCTGAGGAATGTCATAAAATGAATATTTCAATAGTTCTAACAATTAGTGTAACTGTTGTAAAACGTTTAACATTCTAACACAATTTGTAAAAAATAAGATAAAAGCGTTTAATATATATTTGTATAGCTTTTTTTATCCAAATACCTTTACATTCTGCATATTTTTTTTTTTTTATTTTACCCCAGACGCCTTATTCATAATAGTATAAATACTCACATTTTACATGTATTTATTTTACAATATGTATTAATGCGTTATTATTATTCAACGTACTCCACCCGGTTCTTAATATCTTATCATCATCCCGTCCAGTAATTCCAAATTCCTTGCGCACTTTTGGGTTTTGTTCTATAAAATCAATTACTTGACAAATATGAACAGCTGGATATTTCTCTAAAATCCTTCTATATAGTTCGCCTAGTTTCTATAAATATGAAATATCTATTTTTAATAAACAATGGAATACTACTATTTTAGAATTCATGTGCCTTCAATTAAAAAGACAAAATGTAAAATTACCTTTGGATTTTTGCGAATTCTTGCGTTTGATGTATACAAATGAACAAACACGTATAAAAGCATAACACAATTTTTAAAATTCATTATTATGTGGTTTTTTTCAAATGCGAAAATATTCGAATACTGCTCTACCGTGTTAAAATCTAAATGATTCTCCTTCGTTTATCGGCTTCTATAACAGTAAATTCAATGTAAAGCGTATAAGAATTGTATAAACGCATATGTAGTTTGTTTGTTCGATGTTTTTTTAAATTCAATTCTAAATAAAATAAGCATGGCTATACCCTACGAATCGTAAACAAATAGTAGTTGTTTTGCTGCTTGAAAAACACAACCAATTAGGTATACCTGTTTACTCATCCATCTCGTAACAAAATGTATTTATTTAGCTTTTTGTAAGCTATATGTTTTATAGAATAATTTTTGGCTTACAAATCACACCCGCATTGATATTATTATTTTAGACGTTCTATTATTTGTATTGTGTTTCTTTCATATGATTAGAATGGTGAACTTACCCAATCTAAGTTAAGAATCCTGAATGTTATTTCTAGGGTTTAATCATTTATAGCCTTTTTTTTAATTAGAGTTTTTATATTATGATACCTAAATACTTTTTTTGTAGTTAGTTCAAAAACATGAGTTTTTATTATTTAAACAATACTTATGCACACTGTTTTTTTATCACTCAACCCCTATCCCTACCCCCTATCACTCACCCCCTATCTCCCATCTTTATCTCCTACCCCACCCCACTCAGTGTGGTAACGCTTTTTTCGTTACTTATTTTTATGGTTTTGTACCGGCTAATTCTCACCCCCAACGTCATCTTCAACCCCATTTTTTTTTTGATAACGCTTTTTTGGTTATGTGCCAGAGCTAAGACATGAAAATGTCAAAAATACTCATAACTTACATTATTTTAATCATATTTTTTCGGTTACATCGATTTTAAAGAGATGATAGTATTACGGAATAAAAAAATTAAGGGGAAAGAGTAATATTTCTAAAACTAGAGAAACAATCTAAAAAAAGTGATGTCGTTGTGTACAACTTTTAAAGCAATAAATATATAATTTTAAGCTTAATTAATATGTGAAAATAGTGTAGAATAGGAGAAAAATAGAAGAGACAAAAACAAACATGATAATACTTTTAGTATTTATGATAGTGATCTATACTTTATAACAAAGTACCACACCCCTAGCACTATGGCAAAAGCGTAGGGAAAGGCCACCCTTTAAACCATAACATGGAGAGTTATAAAAAGACAAAGTTACTCCCCCAGGGTTCTCGAATTCCACCCAAGGGGCGGCAGAAGTGAGTGGGAATGATAGGGTAAACCTGGCTCACTCCGATTGTCATCCAGCGACCGTGAACTGAGAAAAGAAGAGGCAGATAAGAAAGCAAAAGAAGAGGATGAACTCGACCGACTGCGACAACTGGGTCCATTCCGCTTGTGCGATGAAGTAGAATTTATGGTAATGATGATCAGAAAAAAGCTAGATGAACAGAGGAAAAAAGTTAGGCTCCAGGATTGGAGATGGAACACCTAAATGAAGATGAGGTAGACAAAACTAGTGTTAACTCAGTAACGGACGAATATGATGCCCTAAGGATGCCCTCTAATGAGGTATCTCCGGTAGTAGTCGCGGAACCATGGAGAAAGCGACGGAGGGTCGAAGAAGAACAACTCACTAACTTGGAAGCGAGTTTTGGGTCCGGTGACATTCAGGGCCTTGAGGATGATGAAGTGGCCATTGAAGCTGGGTTGCGCCTTGCGCTGGCGCAGGTCTCTCGGCTTACGACGGAGGCGGATGGTGCAAAAGAGTCAGGGGAGATAGCCGAGCACATTGTGGCCATGGCTCATCAACTATGCGGAACGAGGTTCGACCATTATCCAGGCAGCAGTCCATATGAGGCGTTCCGGAAGGCCAAGGCTGGAAAGTAACGACAGCAGGATCCCTGGCTAAATCAGTAGTTTTATTTTTCAATATTTAGTCATTCTCATTTATTGTATTGTGTTTCATTTATTGTGTTTTGTTATATTATTCATGTACATTGTATAATATATTGTAATGCTATTTTGTCACAATAAACGATGTAGGCAGCCCTGTAGTAATGCCGATTGGCTAAGTCCCGGGGTCGTCTACAATTCTGACTTGGAAAAAAAAAAGGTATACTTATTTCTGAAGACTATTTACCATCTTAACTGAGTTTAAATCAACGGATATTTAAATCAGATGATCTGATATGACTTTTATAATATATGAAGGCATTCCGACAGTTTTTGTTTATTTTTTGGAGTACTGTAACGAAATGAGGCAATTATATGCATTTATTTATATTACATTGTGCAATAAATGTATTTCTTGAGTACGGCTACGAATCATAGAAACAGTACATGTTTTGCAACCTAACCTGACAAATACAAAACATGTATTACTTGTTTACACAAATGTGTATTATTTGTGTTCTAGGCATTCCTATAGATTCTGTTGTTTTTTTTAAACCGACATATTTATACATGAGTAATCTTATACGTATTTGCGTTTATTACAGAAATTGTTTTTTCCATTATTTTAACAATAATCATGCACATTATTTTTCTACTTTTTTACTACACCTATAGATATGTAAAAATAACATTTACAATTCAAACAAATAGTAATTAAATATAAATAATAATTAACTACTATTTTGATTTATATATTTATTTATTTATTAATAGAAACTAAGATTAAGCAGCTAAGGTTAGTTTATAATTATAATATGCAGAAAACAAGTTATTTAACATTTTAATAATAACATTTACAAAATACCCATATAACTGATTAAAACAAAAAAAAACACACACCCCTTAGAGTTTTAAGAATTAATACATAAACCTTGAATTTTTATTTAAATAAACTTAATTGAATACTTTAATAAATTTTACTTTTTGACTACAGCGAACGGCAATAGAATGTTGTAATAAATTTATAGCCCTGAAATATTGATATAAAAACAAATTTACAATGCAATATGTAAAATGATATAAAATGTAATATCCTTCAGTTGGGGAAGAAACAAAAAAAGGCTGAGAGTGAACATATTACTTGCCTGGGTCCTGTAAACGTTTAAATCTACCACCGGCTGGTGTTATATATATGCATATAAGAAATGATTTTCTTTGAAAACCATAAAATTATAAAACTCGCTAAATTTCATAGCATCATCTAGAAATCATTTAAAAAGTATTCACATTAAAATTGATCAACCTATAAAATGCTGTAACAGTTTGGGTGGTTGCAATTATTATTATTGCCTTTTTATGTACAATGGCCAAATAATGGGTATTATGAAAGACATATAGAATCAATAATTGTGTCTGTCCACTTGCTTGGTTTTTAAATCATTGAAAATCGTGTATAAAAAATACATCATGAGCAATGTCATTAAATTAATATTCCAATATAAATTAAATTCAGTCTAACTGTCATAAAATAGTTTTGTAACATATTTCGTTGAAAAAGAAGATAGAAGAAGCGTTTTACTTTTTCTGGAACCCTTCATTGGTTTAGTTATAGCTTCGATTTCCTTTTTACTTAGTCTATATAGGAGTCGTTTCTTCAGTAAAAACCATTTAACTCTTTCCTTGGTTACTAGGACATTACACTTTCCAGCATCTTCGATTTTTTTATACATTTTTTCGAGTTGCTAAAATCATAAAATTTCTGTTTTTAAGACACAATGTGAAAACTACTATTATAGAAATAATTAATCTAGAATTATTACTATTATATTATTCACTAGGTTCATAGAGTATTTATTATAATTTTTTTTAAAAATGTATCATATATTAGGATAGAAAAAAATCATAATTACCCAATAAGTAAACTTTGATGTTATTACTGCTACAAATTGCTCTTCCGAAATAAACCCAACTAGAAATCATTATAAAAGTACTCACATTAAAAATTACCAAACCAAATTATGCTGTAAGGTGTTATATGATGACCACGTCATCAATGTACGTAACATGATGTTTAAATAAATGCGGGCAGTGCTTTCGGTGACTCGAGACTGATGACCAAAAGATTAAATTAACAATAACGCATAGTTGCAAATATAAAAGAGACGGAAAGGTATTCACATTTCACATGTATATATTTTACAATATCTATTAATGAGTTATTATTATTCAACGTACCAAAATGGGAGTTTTGTATCTTTTTTTTATCCAATCTAGAAATTCTAAATTCCTTGCGCACCTTTGGTTTTTTTATATAATTTTCTACGTCAAACAAATAAACACCTAAAGGGCGTTCTTCTGAAACACTTCTATATAGTTCGGCTAATTTCTATAAATATTAAATATTTAATTTTAATAAACAATGTGAATACTACTGTTTTAGAACTAATGTGCCTTCAATTAAAAAAAAAAAATGTAAAATTACCTGTGGATTTTTGCGAATTCTTGCGTTTGATGTACACAAATGGACAAATAAGTATAAAAGCATAACGCAATTTTTAAAATTCATTATTGTTTGTATTTTTTTTCAAATGCGAAAATTTTCGAATACTGTTCTGCCGTGTTTAAAACTTAAGTGCTTCTTCTTCGTTTAATGGCTTCTGTTATAGTGAATTCAGTGTAAAGCTTATAAAAGTTGTATAAACGAATATGTAGTTTGTTTGTTCGATGTTTTTTTAAATTCAATTCAAGAATAAATAAGCATGGCTTTAGCCTACGAATCGTAAACCAATAGTAGTTGTTCTGCTGCTTGATAAACACAACAAATTTAGGTATTACCTGTTTACTCATCCGTCTTGTAACAAAATGTATTTATTTAGCTGTGTGTAAGCTATATGTTTCATAGAATAATTTTTGGCTCTCAAATCACACCCGCATTGATATTATTATTTTAGACGTTCTATTACTTGTATTGTGTTTCTTTTATATGATTACACTGGTGAACTTACCCAAGCTAAGTTAGGAATCCTGGATGTTATTTTTGGGTTTAATCATTAATAGACTAAGTGACTAGTTTACTAGTAGACTAGTTTGTTAATTGCGCGACCAATATATTTAAAAGTAATTGATGTGCGCGGTACGATGTTTTGGGTAGGAGTAAATTTGTGCAAACACCGGAAGTAAACAACGGAAGTAGAGCTAGCGGATATAAATTTGACCGGTAAACGGAAGTAAACATTTCGGATATATGTCCAATGGTACCAGGGGTGTATGTTAAATGTCCACATCGGACAATGCCGCACCATACGTGTAGCTGTATAACGAATTCTTTACCGACAACATTTGATAGCTAGACTAGGCAAGACTAGCCTAAGCTAGCCTTTTTGACAACTACGAGCCACGCTGCGCCGCCCGTAGATGATCGCTGTATATTATAAATATTCTATACGCGCATCTTACCCTAGTACCAACAATTTACAATCTGTATATTACCCTGACGGAAACAACACAGATATTGGAGTGACAGATGTGATTAATTTAAGAGAGTAGTGAGAAAAATAATTTTTTAATTATCTAGTATAAATTTCATATTTTATACAGTAAGTAAATAAGTTGATTAGAAAACTAAACATTGGAAAACTAGATTGTTCTATAAATAACCAATAGATAATAAATAACTTGGATTTCGATCCCGTTTCACACAAAAAACACCTTTGGTAACATTTTAGCTATGTCTAAAACAAACGCGGAGAGACAAAAAGAATTCAAAGAGCGCCAAAAATCTATTTTCAGAACTTCTCAAGTAGCATCTACTAGTACTTCCACTACATTGCCAATAACGTATCCTCCAGATATATCCCATTCGCCTCAATAAATGTTATTAACTTCATCAGAACTTGAACAATCATTAGAAGATAGAACTACTACTATTGAAACTTCATAATATATCACTGTCGCCTCATATGATGAATGTTATATACATTCCAAAGCTCACACTCAATTTAAATCGAGGTTCTTAAACAATAACTTTGGTGCTGTATGTAGTGTATGTGATAGATTGTGTTATTGTGGTATGATAATGATTTAAAAAAACCTCCACATTGTTCAAAAGGTATTCTTTTATGTGAATTTCTTGGTATTAACATCGAATCATCTCTTGTATGTAGTACTTATTATGCCACACTTAAAAAACTAAAAATACCGACTTTAGCTAAGTCGAATGGTTTTATGTATCCGTTGCGACCACCACATCTGCCTGACTTGGATTTAATCACCGAGCGATTGGTCTCGCCAAGACTTCCGTTCATGACAATCAGAAGGCTTCATAATGGAAATGGCCAATACGGGGTTCTTGGACAAATAATCAACGTGCCAGTAGAAATAAATACAATAGTCAACCTACTGCCTCGTGAGCTGGATGATGATTATAGTATCATAGATTGGCTCAGCCATCTAATTGACACTCCACTATATAAATATTATGGCGTTAATGATAATGAGTCTTTCTTTTTTGCAGAGGAACCACAAGTTCTATTGAGTGACCGAGACGAGTTTAGCGAAGAGATAGATTATAGATAGATATTCAGTTATAGTATATTAAGACAACCCTTTAAACCATAACATGGAGAGTTATAAAAAGACAAAGTTAGGCGCAGGTCTCTCGGCTTACGACGGAGGCGGATGGTGCAAAAGAGTCAGGAAAGATAGCCGAGCACATTGTGGCCATGGCTCATCAACTATGCGGAACGAGGTTCGACCATTTGTCACAATAAACGATGTTGGCAGCCCTGTAGTAATGACGATTGGCTAAGTCCCGGGGTCGTCTACAATTCTGAATTGGAAAAAAAAAAGGTATACTTATTTCTGAAGACTATTTACCATCTTAACTGAGTTTAAATCAACGAATATTTAAATCAGATGATCTGATATGACTTTTATAATATGTGAAGGCATTCCGACAGTTTTTGTTTATTTTTTGAAGTACTGTAACCAAATGAGGCAATTATATGCATTTATTTATATTACATTGTGCAATAAATGTATTTCTTGAGTACGGCTACGAATCATAGAAACAGTAATTGTTTTGCAACCTAACCTGACAAATACAAAAAATGTATTACTTGTTTACACAAATGTGTATTATTTGTGTTTTAGGCATTCCTATAGATTCTGTTGTTTTTTTTAAACCGACATATTTATACATGAGTAATCTTATACGTATTTGCGTTTATTACAGAAATTGTTTTTTCCATTATTTTAACAATAATCATGCACATTATTTTTCTACTTTTTTACTACACCTATAGATATGTAAAAATAACATTTACAATTCAAACAAATAGTAATTAAATATAAATAATAATTAACTACTATTTTGATTTATATATTTATTTATTTATTAATAGAAACTAAGATTAAGCAGCTAAGGTTAGTTTATAATTATATAATGCAGAAAACAAGTTATTTAACATTTTAATAATATTTAATAATAACATTTACAAAATACCCATATAATTGATTAAAACAAAAAAAAAACACACACCCCTTAGAGTTTTAAGAATTAATACATAAACCATGAATTTTTATTTAAATAAACTTAATTGAATACTTTAATAAATTTGACTTTTTGACTACAGCGAACGGCAATAGAATGTTGTAGTAAAATTATAGCCCTGAAATATTGATATAAAAACAAATTTACAATGCAATAATAATGCAATATGTAAAATGATATAAAATGTTATATCCTTCAGTTGGGGAAGAAACAAAAAAAGGGTGAGAGTGAACATATTACTTACCTGGGTCCTGTAAACGTTTAAATCTACCACCGGCTGGTGTTATATATCTGTATATAATAAATGATTTTCTTTGAAAACCATAAAATTTTGAAACTGTCTAAAATTCATAGCATCATCTAGAAATCATTTAAAAAGTATTCACATTAAAATTTATCAAAATATATAATGCTGTAACAGTTTGAGCTGTTGCAATTATTATTGTTGCGTTTTTATATACAATGGCTAAATAACGGGTGTTATGACAAGCCATATAAAATCAATAATTGTGTCTGTCCAATTGCTTGGTTTTTAAATCATTTAAAATCGTGTCGAAAAAATACATCATGAGCAATGTCATTAAATTAATATTCCAATATAAATTAAAATCAGTCTAACTGTCATAAAATAGTTTTGTAACAGATTTCGTTGAAAAAAAAGATAAAAGCGTTTTACCCTTCATTGGTTTAGTTAACGCTTCGATTTCCTTTGCACTTAGTCTATATAGGAGTCGTTTCTTCATTAAAAAACTTTTAACTGTTTCCTTAGTTACTAGGAAATCATACTTTACAGCTTTTGAGATTTTTTTATACATTTTTTCGAGTTGCTGAAATCATAAAATTTCTGTTTTTAAGACACAATGTGAAAACTACTATTATAGAAATAATTAATCTAGAATTATTACTATTATATTATTCACTAAACTTATAGAGTATTTAATTATTATAATTTTTTTTTTTAAATATATCATATATTAGGATCGAAAAAAATCATAATTACCCAATAACTAAATTTTGATGTTACTAATGCTACAAATTGCTCTTCCGACATTTCTTTAGCTAGAAATCATTATAAAAGTACTCATATTAAATTGTATCAAACCAAAATATGTTGTAACGGATGGAGTGGTTACATTTATTATTATTGTGTTTTTATGAATAATATTTGGTAATTAAGGATACTACACATCAAAATCACTTAAGAGCAATAATTGTATTTGCCCACTTGTTCAGTTTTCAAACAAACTACAATCGCGATGAAAAAAAATTTCTAAGGAATGTCGTAAAATGAATATTTCAATAATTGTTACTGTTAGTGTAAGTGTTATAATACGTTTAACATTCTAACACGACTTGTAAGAAACAAGAAAAAGCGTTTTGTATTTTTATAATAACTTTTTTCACCCAATTATCTTTACAGACGCATTCTGCATTTTTTTTTAAATTTTGACCCAGACGCCGTATTCATAATAGTATAAATACTCACATTTCACATGTATTTATTTTACAATATCTATTAATGAGTTATTATTATTCAACGTACTCCAACGGGTTCCTAATATCCTTTTTTCATCCCGTCCAGTAATTCCAAATTTCTTGTACACGTCTGGTTTTTCTATATAGTCTCTTACTATATACATAAAAACTTTTGGGACTTTAAATGAAATCTCTCTATATAGTTCGCCTAGTTTCTATAAATATCAAGTATCTATTTTTAATAAACAATGTGAATACTACTGTTTTAAAATGAATGTGCCTTCAATAAAAAAGAAAAAAATGTAAAATTACCTGTGGATTGTTGCGAATTCCTGCGTTTGCTGTATACAAATGAACAAACAAATGTAAAAGCACAATACAATTTTTTAAATTCATTATTTTGTGTTTTTTTTTTAAATGCCAAAGTATTCGAATACTGTTCTGCCGTGTTTATAACTTAAATGATTCTTCTTCGTTTAATGCCTTCTGTTATAGTGAATTCAGTGTAAAGCTTATAAAATTTGTATAAGCGAATATGTATTTTGTTTGTTCGATTTATTTTAAAATTCAATTCTAAAATAAATAAGCATGGCTTTAGCCTACGAATCGTAAACAAATAGTAGTTGTTTTGCTGATTGACAAACACAACAAATTGTTGTAAGCTAAATGCTTTATAGAATAATTTTTGATTTTCAAATCACTCCCATATTGATATTATTATTTTAGACGTTCTATTATTTGTATTGTGATTATTTTATATGATTACACTGGTGCTCTTACCCAAGCTAAGTTAGGTATCCTGGATTTTATTTTTAGGGTTTAATTAATAATAGACTAAGTGACTAGTTTAATAATTGCGCAATCAATATATTTGAAATTTATTTATATAATAGTATTATTAAAGTTTTTACATCATAAACAACCTTTGATAATGACAATGTTTTTAATTTTTAACAAATAACAGTTCAGATAAAACCCCTTGGATCATAAATAAACCACAACGGTTGTAAAACAACCAAAATATTACACCAAAAGAACTATAATTTTGTATTTTAGTCGATTTTATTTGTGTCAAGCCAGAATCGAAAATTTTATATAGCCAAAACTTCCATTATTTAATATAACACCTAAAAATATATTTTGGTATCGCTTTAAACCGATAAATTCGTATTTAGTTTAACTTTATATTTTTTAGTATAGTATGAAAACATGTTATTATTTGAACATTAATCGTACAAATTTTTTTTTGCTTATGTACTACAATTTTTAAATCTATGAGAGGCATTTGTCTCTCAGAATTTTCCATCTTAATTTACCCCAAACGAGTTTCGTCAATACAACGAATTTGATATTATATTAATAGATTTCGGTTTTTGACGACCTTTTTTTTTAACACTTTAAAAACCGACTTTATATTGTTGTATACATGATTACTGAATGACTCTTTTACTCAATTATCAATAAATGTTGAAATTTCATATTGATTTTTAAAATCGTGGCTTCAGCCTCAAAAACAAAAAATATATTTAATACCTGTTTACAAAACCTTGATATAGGAAAATGATTTTTTTTCAAATCTTATCCACATTGATATTATTATTTTAGACGTTTTATTATTTGTATTAGGTTTCTTTCTTATGATTAAACTGGTAAACATATTTAAATTAAGCAAAGAATCATTGATTTTATTTTTACTTTTATAAATATCTTTTTTTTAACGAATAAAGCAAATCTTAAACATAATCTCTTTGATCAATAGTGTGGTACTATGTTAGTCACATAATGAGAAAGATACAACAAAATAATATTCACCGACACAATTTTTACAAAAAATTACCTTATTTTTTTTTTTTGTAAATGTAAACTGTCACTAAATATTTATTATTTCAATTTATAGCTGTTATCTATAAAATCATAATCAGACATTTCATAGGATTGAATTTGATTTTCAAAGATTATATAGAGTTTATATTGAGTGTAAAGAAAACAATATTATAGTAATAGAGTGATCCACTCAATATCGTGATAACGTTGTTGATGACAATGTTTTAAAATTCTTAAAAATTATATTTTAGATAGAAACACTTATTTTGGTCGATAAGACATTTTATTTGTTTCTAGACTTACATTATTATATACAGCATTGTTATATATAACATCATAAAATTTACATTATTTTGTATCACTATAAAAAACGTACGTAAAAAACGATACTACACTCAACTCAAAAGTAAATGCAACATTTATTTGGATATGTATATTTTTACTATCAGAAAAGACATAGCAGCTAAGGTTAAATTATATTTTGAATAAGCTGGAAACTAGTTATTTAAACATTTTTATAATATTTAATAATAACATTTACAAATTACCCATATAATTGATAAAAACGAAAAAAAACACGCACCCTTTAAATATGAATTAGTACATAAACCTTGAATATTTATTTAAATAAACTTAAATTGAATACTTTAAAAAGTTTGAATTTTTAATTACAGCGAACGGCGATAGAATATTGTAGTAAATTTATAGGCCTGAAATTTTGATATAAAAATAAATTTACAATGCCATAATATTGCAATATATAAAATGTTATGTCCTTTATTTGGGAAAGAAACAAAAATTTTGTAATGGTGAACATATTACTTGCCTGGAGGCTGCAAGTGTTTAAATCTACCACCGGTTGGTCTTGAAGCGAATACATTATTTTTTGAAAACCATGAATCTACGAAATTCGCCAAATGTCATAGCATCATCTAGAAATCATTTAAAAGGTATTCACATTAAAACTTATCAAACTATACAATGCTGTAACAGTTTGAGCTGTTGCAATTATTATTATTGCGTTTTTATATACAATGGCCAAATAACGGGTATTATGACAAGCCATATAAAATCAAAAATTTTGTCTGTCCACTTGTTTGGTTTTTAAATCATTGAAAATCGTGTATAAAAAACACATTATGAGCAATGTCATTAAATGATTATTTCAATATAAATTAAAATCAGTCTAACTGTCATAAAATAGTTTTGTAACAGATTTCGTTGAAAAAAAAGATAAAAGCGTTTTACCCTTCATTGGTTTAGTTAACGCTTCGATTTCCTTTGCACTTAGTCTATATATAAGTCGTTTCTTCAGTAAAAACCATTTAACTCTTTCCTTGGTTACTAGGATATTATCCTTTACAGCTTTAGCGATTTTATCATACATTTTTCCGAGTTGCTAAAATCATAAAATTTCTGATTTTTATACACAATGTGAATACTACTATTATAGAAATAATTAATCTAGAATTATAACTATTATATTATTCACTAAACTTATAGAGTATTTAATTATTATATATTTTTTTTTTTAAAATATATCATATATTAGGATAGAAAAAAATCATAATTACATAATTATTAAATTTTGATGTTATTAATGCTACAAATTGCTCTTCCGACATTGTGTGGACTAGAAATCATTATAAAAGTACTCATTTTAAAATTTACCAAGCTTAATTATGCTATAACGGATGGAGTGGTTACAATTATTATTATTGCGTTTCTATGAATAATATTTGGTAATTAAGGGTACTACACATCAAAATCACATAAGAGCAATAATTATATTTGTCCGCTTGTTCAGTTTTCAAACAAACTACAATCGCGTTAACAAAAAATATTCCTAAGGAATGTCATAAAATGAATATTTCAATAGTTCTTACAATTAGTGTAACTGTTGTAAAACGTTTAACATTCTAACACAATTTGTAAAAAAACAAGATAAAAGCGTTTAATATATATTTATATAGCTTTTCTTATCCAAATACCTTTACATTCTGCATTTTTTTATTTTTTTATTTTACCCCAGATACCTTATTTATAATAGTATTAATACTCACATTTCACATGTATTTATTTTACAATATCTATTAATGCGTTATTATTATTCAACGTAGTCCACCCGGTTCTTAATATCTTATCATCATCCCGTCCAGTAATTCCAAATTCCTTGCGCACTTTTGGGTTTTGTTCTATATAATCCATTACTTGAGAAATATGAACAGTTGGATATTTCTCTGAAATCCTTCTATATAGTTCGCCTAGTTTCTATAAATATGAAATATCTATTTTTAATAAACAATGGAATACTACTATTTTAGAATTCATGTGCCTTCAATTAAAAAGACAAAATGTAAAATTACCTTTGGATTTTTGCGAATTTTTGCGTTTGATGTATACAAATGAACAAACACGTATAAAAGCATAACACAATTTTTAAAATTCATTATTGTTTGTATTTTTTTTCAAATGCGAAAATATTCGAATACTGCTCTACCGTGTTAAAACTTAAATGATTCTCCTTCGTTTAATGGCATCTATTACAGTGAATTCAATGTAAAGCGTATAAGAATAGTATAAACGCATATGTAGTTTGTTTGTTCGATTTTTTTTTTTAAATTCAGTTCTAAATTAAATAAGCATGGCTTAACCCTACGAATCGTAAACAAATAGTAGTTGTTTTGCTGCTTGACAACCAATTTAGCTATTACCTGTTTACTCATCCATCTCGTAACAAAATGTATTTATTTAGCTTTTTGTAAGCTATATGTTTTATAGAATAATTTTTGGCTCTCAAATCACACCCGCATTGATATTATTATTTTAGACGTTCTATTATTTGTATTATGTTTCTTTCATATGATTAGAATGGTGAACTTACCCAATCTAAGTTAGGAATCCTGGATGTTATTTTTAGGGTTTAATCATTTATAGCCTTTTATTAGAGTTTTTATATTATGATACCTAAATACTTTTTTTGTAGTTAGTTCAAAAACATGGGTTATTTTTATTATTTAAACAATACTTATGCACACTGTTTTTTTATCACTCAACCCCTATCCCTACCCCCTATCACTCGCCCCCTATCTCCCATCTTTATCTCCTACCCCACTCCACTCAGTGTGGTAACGCTTTTTTCGTTACTCATTTTTACGGTTATGTACAGGCTAATTTTCACCCCTATCTCCCACCCCCAACGTCATCTTCAACCCCATTTCTTTTTTGATAACGCTTTTTTCGTTACGATTTTTTGATAACGCTTATTTCGTTACGCTTTTTTCGGTTATGTGCCAGAGCTAAGACATGAAAATGTCAAAAATACTCATAACTTACATTATTTTAATCATATTTTTCCGGTTACATCGATTTTAAAGAGATGATAGTATTACGGAATAAAAAAATTAAGGGGAAAGAGTAATATTTCTAAAACTAGAGAAACAATATAAATAAATTGATGTCGTTGTGTACAACTTTTAAAGCAATAAATATATAATTTTAAGCTCAATTAATATGTGAAAATAGTGTAGAATAGGAGTAAAATAGAAGAGACAAAAACAAACATGATAACACTTTTAGTATTTATGATAGTGATCTATACTTTATAACAAAGTACCACAC